CTAGTGTTATAAGAATTTAAGACACTTAAGAGTTTGATAGATACCCATTAGTTTGTTAGTTACATTAGTTAGTTAGTTAGGAAGGTTAGTTGGTTGAAGAAAAGAGGCATGTTTGCATCAATTTCAATATTTCCCCATTGGAGTTCAGCAATTAATCTCAATTTTCTCATCACCATTTAGATAGATCTCTACTTATTCGTTTCTGATTCCCAGTTGTGTATGTAATAGGCAACAATGCTAGTTACTGACTGAAATATGTGATTGTATGCATCAGAATTACAACAGCAGCCCAAGTACTTTAAAATGACAATCTTTCATCACACATTAGGTTCCAGCATCATCAGTTTGTCGCAACTACAAAATTCTTTGATATATAATTCTCTGAATTGTCTTTGTATACAAAAAACATTGTTCTGTTGCACCATCACATAGCTTTCTAATCAATGTTTAATTCAGGAAAGTCATTTTGCTACATATCTAGTTAAATTTCCTAATAGACCAGTACTGAATCCACTATTGTAAAATGTGTTCCCATGTACTAGGATTTTAGTATATTATTGTAAAATAGAACAGAGAATATTTCATTAAGACTTTGAATGATTGTGATATGGGATACAAATAACAAAACTGGCTGACTGAACTTATACCCTATTCTAAATAGATCTTATGTTCAGCACAACTAGTATATTCCCTGACCATAACAAACACTCGGAATACAATAAAACTAATATATAGATCTTAACTTATGCTGCAAGCATCATATAATTAGCAGCAAAAGTTAAGCCCTCAGTCACCTTTTCTCTGAATGGAGAAATTTATTAGAAGAAAAAAATGGGTGGCTGTTTCTAAAATAGAGCAACAAATCACAAAAAATAAATGACGAGAGAAAGCACTATTCCATTTTCAATGAAAAAATGAAATGGATTCCATTATAAGGAACCTCTATGTGTTTGATTTTCTGAAATAATTGTAAGATCGTAGTTTGCTAATTAATATCTAACATAAAGTGGGAAGATAAACTACAAAAGCATACAGTTCTTTTATCACCGAATACACAAAACAATTTTATGATTATCAACAAATCACCATTTGAAAGTGCCGCAGCCAAATTACAGAGTAGTAAATTTGACCATCAGTTGTTGATACATGAGAAATACATCTCCATCTAGTATTTACTTTCAAGGTATCAGTTATGGCCAGCTCTTTGGAGAATCTACAGTACTCATTCTGCAGAACATATATTGGATTTTATTATACAAAAATTTGATTGAATGTGTGACAATGATTACCAGATTTTCATGAGTGATTCTGTTAATAAATTGCCTAACTCAGTGTTGCATGCTGATTTTCCTTTTCTTGTTTTCAACTTTGGTTCATTTGCATTATACTGCTTTAGGCTATTCATAAAAGGTTGTTTAGACAAGTATTTCTGTGAAGTGATTTTATGAATACTCTTTCTATTACTCACTCTTTGTTGGCTTATTAGACTTCGTTCTGTCATCCAAAATCAGGGAATGAGTCACGGGGTTGTTTAACAAAGGTTTTGATGAATTCAAAGGTAAGGCCTTGTACTCGGTCTTTGGCTCTTAGTTTTCATTTAGCACTTCATTTTACCTTAATATACTCTGGATATTTGTTTACCTATTATTAATAGGTTTTGGATTTTTGCAGGTTGATGCACCAGATCATTATACCTGGATGCACTTACATCAGACTTGGTTGGATGGCTTAGGAGGACAGGATGATATGCCTTGGTTGTTATAGTATCTAGTCACTTCTGTTAAAAAGCATTCTTAAGCTGTCAAATTATTCAACTAAGGCATGAGGCACTGAAAGATAGATGGTTGACAAAGATTTTTCATTTTATGACAGTTTTCACCTTTTGAAGAGAAAAACTTGGTTTTCTATTATACTGACATCCTTGGCCTGTGTTATTAAGTAGAGGGAGCTGCTATTTGATTAGAGACTGATCCAACAGCAATCAAGAAAGTTGAAAATAAAAGGGTCCAAATTGTAGGTTACAAGAACTCTAGCAAGGTGACTTGTGAGTTGTGATCTTGCAATCTTTGTTATTTGTTGACAGTTTTCTTCCTGGTGGTAACTGGTAATACAGTTTTTATTTGGAAATACGCAAGATGTGTCGAATGGTGAATTTAAATAATGATAGTAGATTTTTTATTTTTTTTATTTTTTTTGTGTGTATACAAAGATGGAGATGAAATTTGAATTTAATAGTTTATGTAAAGTATCTAAATATTTCACCACTAAACTAATCTCAGTGAATTTTGAGTCGCAAATTAAATAGAGAGGAAAATAAAAGCTACTTGGGAAGCACTATGATGATTCTATATTAATACAATTGGTGCAACAAAAATTTAGTTTTGGTGGGACTACAACCGTTTTCAATTTTTTTGTCGAACTCAATGAGGTGTGCTTGCTTGTGTGACAAAACATGGCAGAACTACAGGGAAAAACTTTTGGAGGGGCCAAAGTAATTATAATTATAATGAATAAATTAAAAATAATAATTTTGATGATATTATCCCATATAAGTGATTTATACCATTTAATGACGCTATTCAAATGTTAACTATTTTTTTTTAATTAATTGCATATTATGATATTAAAATAGTATGACTTCTATAACTCATTGGCTATTGATTAAAAAAAATAGAGAATTTATCTGTAAATTTCTTTCATGAAAAATTTGCAAGACACAACAAATTTTGTACGAGAATGTGCATAAAATTAATGTAAAATTATGTTGTTTATTTTTTTAACAGTAATTATTAATTAACATTAATATATTTTTTTAGTATCATATTTACGATTTAAAGATTTAAATATATTTTTAATTATTGTAAATATTGTTTTCGATACTTGAGCAAAAATTGGTTTTGATCTTTGTAGCATATTTTTTTTTAATTTTCATTTTTCTAAAATCTAAATTCACTAGTTTTGGTCCCTCATGATCATTTTAAAGTATATAAATAACATTTGTTTTAAAGTTCTATAAAAATAATTAGTGGTGTATGACAACCAACAAAGTATCACATAGAGTAGTTTTAGGAATTTAGTCTCTCAAGTTTTAATTAAACAATTTTATTCTTTTAAGTATTGTAGTTGTGTAATTTTGGTCTCTTAATTTTTAATTGGATAATTTTAGTCCTTTAATTTTTGTAATTTTGTAATTTTAGTCTCACAAGTATTGCAATTATACAATTTTTTTACCTATTTAAGTGGTATATATTAGTAATTATAGTAATAATAAATATATCTCATTTAACACATAAATGAAAATTATAATATATATATATATATATATAACTTAAATAAGTAAAAAATTGTATAATTCCGATACTTGAGAGATTAAAATCCTACAATTATAATACTCGAAGGATTAAAATTGTTCAATTAAAAATTAAGGGATAAAAATTGCACAACTAAGATATTTGAAGGACTAAAATTGTTCAATTAAAACCTTAGAGACCAAAATCACACAATTGTAATACTAAAGAGAAGTTTGGTAGGGGAGAAATTTTTTCATACCCAAGAATTATGATTTTTAGGAATTACAAATCTTGGGAATCACGATTCCTAAAATTAACTGATATATGTTGGTTACTCATAAAAGTTCCTAAAAATATTCATACATGATTCTTGAGAATTAAATATTTTTATTTTTTGTTACAATAATATATTCTTGAGTTTATAAATATTTATCATAAAAATATCCTTTATTAAAATAAACTCATTATATATA